GCAAATAAAACCATTGCTGTTAACCCTCTAGATACCGTCTTCGACTGTAGTCGAAATTGACCTCAAACCGAGAATTCCCATTTTCGACTGCAATCGAAATTTCGTGACTAAAAAATAGGTGGTTTTCAAATCGCTCTTCTGTTTTTATTTTAGGTCCAATACGTCAGAAATTTTGAACACGCATGCGTGAAGCTTTTGTTTATTCGAAATCTGTGAAGAACTCACATGCGCTTATATAAAAATGTTTAGAAATATCAATTTAAAATCGTTATTAATTTCAAAAATTTTTCGAAATGGCCGCACAAGATGTGTACACAGCTGAGCAAGCGATTGACCTGATTTTTGATTCAGACAGCGATGAAGGTGAATTTTCAGATGTGCGAGAGACTTAGACGTGCCTGTTAGCGATGATGACGGTGCGGCTTCAAGCAGTTCTGACGGCGGAGATATTCTTGATGAAGATGAGCCTAGGCCTAGAAATGTGAGGGTAGTCGACGCTTTTGAATGGAAAGATCGCGCTTATAGTTATGGATGGTTGGGTAAATAAATTATATAACTGTGTGGAATAGGAATGTTTTATATTTGTTTTTATTTTTTTTTGGCTATAATTTATTTTTTTTTTTGGTTTTTGCTGACGATTTATATGTAGCATTTTCCTGTCATTTCTATTATATTATATATATATTATATTATATTATATTATGAAAAAAAAATTCCCCAAAATATAAATTATACATCAAATGAAAGCTTATTCTATAAGCTTTCTTTGTTTTTAGAAACATTTTTCTGTATAATTTACAGAAAGTTCCCAAAAATCCACCAGAACGACGTATACTCAAAAAGCGCAAAAAACCTTGTTACACTGCAAAAGAATCCGATATTCAAGGGTTTGCACTACAAAAGAATCCGGTATCCAGAGGGTTAAGTTATGATTGCAGCTGATGGGATGCCACCCTTTCGATAAACTTTCTAAGAAATGGAAGATAGGATCTGGGTCTAAAAGAGTTATTTAGCATTGTTTTTTTTTAACAAGGGTGTAATGCAGGCATGGTTATTAGGGAAGATGGAAATAAACAAGAAATATTGACAACTTTAGTATAACTGGTATGAGAACAAGAAGGCATGTATTGAACAATTCCAATGAAAGTGGGTCAAGTGAGCATGAGGTAATTGAAGATGTCTTAATAACCCCAAGAACTTCCTCTTCTGAGACAGCAACAAAATGAGAAAAGTTACTTGTGCAAGACTCGAACGCAGATATTTAAGTTTGAAAAGAGCTTGATAAAGTGTGCTGCAATGAGTATGAATGTCACTCTAAAAATTGACAAGGTCATTTTATTCAATGTTTCGCTTTTATTTAAGTATCATCAGGAGTAACATACAAAGAGAAAAAATTATATATACAGTACAAAATTAGAAATCCTAATTAATATGCAATTATTTAATTCAGGAAATTATCCCATCAGAGTATTGTGGTGTCATGGTGAGAGAGCACATTATATTGGGAAATATACAACCTTCATTTTATGGTAGTCGCACGAATACCATGGTGCATGTGGTGAAAGCAGAACACTTCAGTAGTGGAGAATGAACATCTAATATTGTCTATAAAAACTCACTATACAGGGGTAAGCTCCCACTATAGAGTACTGTATATATCTGAAACAGAGCAAGTTGGATAGAGCCAGGTGCAGTTTAATATCAGACAGAGATTTGTCAATGTTAATTCTTTTCAAATTTCTTGAAATAACTTGCATCTTGTTTTATGGGAAGGCATACCGTAATTGTATAGAGATGTTGTTAAGCAGGTCAGAACCGTTGTGGGGTATAAGTAGGTCTAGTGATCTAACTCAGCTGTCACTCGATGTTTGTTTACCTTCACTTAACAACGGCTAATGTCTAACAAAATTTTTATCCTTGAGTACAAAAGTACAGCTAGTGCGAAATCGGCAGGCCAGTCTATGTACTGTATGTCATGTGGCATTAGCGTCAACTCTCATCATAGACATACACTGGGCGTAATGTTACTCGGAAAGGTGGGCAGTGTGCACATGGATGTATCTCATGTCACACTACACAATGTTGTAAACAAATCAATCAATCAATCAATCAATCGTTCCATTTTTATGGTGCCATTCCAACAGTCGTTGCTTATGTTGCCATTCCAAAAAAGATTTTTTATAAAAGGTGCATCTTGAGTTGTGACTTAAAACTGTCAAGAGAAGGTGATTGTCTGATTTTTAGAGGAAGTTTATTCCAGAGCCTTGATCCAGCAGTGATGAAAGCCTTATCTCCCCAGCTGTATTTGTTCCTTGGGATGTCCAGGAGCACTTGTTGGGTAGATCTTAGTACTCGCCTACTCTCTTTGTTGTTAAGCAAGGCCAAAATAAAAAAAGTGTTTGTTTCCGGTCGATCACCCGGGTGGATTTAAAAAAAAACAAAAAAAAAAAAAAACACCCGCAATGTAAAAATAAAAAAGGGATTTCCCCATCTCACAGACTATTTTGGTTATTAACGATCCATAATAATAAAGGCTATGCCCAAGGATCATTGTTGGTATACTGTACAAGTTTTTCATTTTTATATGTTTGTTTACTGTATATTTTTATTATTAGTATTATTATTAAGTAACAAAGAAAAATATGAACTGTAGCCTCACGGTGTAGGCCTAGCCTGCGATAGTGAGCGCGTAGATCATCACAAAACTTTAACTTAACCGTTCTACTTTCCGTTCAACTTGATTGATTTCCGATCGCGGTACAAAGCGATTTACCTTCACTTCGTATTGTATTTTACTACCGTATAATTTTGATCCACAATAAAGGCTATGTCCCAAAGGATCATTGTTTGTATGTCAAATATTTTCTGTTTCTTTATTTTAATATGTTTTACTGTAAAGCGAAGTTGCTTCGTAGCTATCTAGGGGCCTACAGGCAGCGATGCGGCAGTGGGCTGAGGCACTGAGGTCATCGAACCATCATCTTTCTCCTGTCTCCTCCTCTCATTACCTCGCGGAGTATTTTACAGCATAGGACGCACCACAAACCTGTAAAAAAGCTTAGGCGCGTAAACAAATAAGTGCAGAATAAAAACAGAGACAAGGAAACACACATAGGCCTAGACCTACTGGATGACGATACGATACTAGTAGGAGGCCATAACATAACACGTTCTATGATATACCGTCGAAATATAAATGAAACGAAATGAAAATATTTTTTTTATTGCACAACAAGCGAATGAAAAAACATGTGCCTGGGAATGGACGGGGCCAGTCTGGACAGGGCCAGTTTGGACAGCGCTTGAGGTTAGGACGTCCTAGGCACGCATTGTACAAATCATGGCGGCGTCGAATTTGCCAAGCGAATGGGCGGTTTGCATATAAATAAGAACCTGCAAGAGCGACTGCGTTTGTACTCATATTCTAAAAAACAAAATCACAAGATTTCCAAGAGGAACAACATTTCGTGACAACAGAGAGCCAATGCAAGTCTTTCAAAATTGGTGTCACATGTTCAAATATTTTGGCACACTTCACCAAGCCAGCTGCCCAATTTTGAATCTTTTGGAGAGATCGGAACTGCTTCTTTGGCAAACCAAACAGCAAGGCATTGCCCATATCAAGCCTACTGGTAACAAAAGCATGTACAATCTGCTCTGTTGCACTAGGATTCAAATAACGTAGTATCTTGGCTATATTACGCAAATGAAAGATAGCAGAACGGCAGACTATGCTAACGTGTCACTCCATAGTCAGTTGACTGTCTAAAAACACACCTACAAACTTTAGTCGATGGATTGACAAGAACTCTGCCAGTTTTCAGGCATGGTAGCTCCACTTTCTTCCTCTGCTGGGCTGATCCAAATAAAATCACTTTGTCTTTTCATCATTCAGCTAGATTAAGTTAGAGTGCATCCATTTTCGAATTTCAGCAGTGCAGGCTTTGCTTTTTTTTAACCTTTTTTTTTTGTTGCCCATAGAGACTTTTATTTGCAATATATAAATCCATTTATTACAGATTATTATTTTTAGTTATTATAATTATTTTTACATTCTTACTTATGTGTACTTTGTGTTCTTCCTAAGCTATTGCTAAAAGTAACATAATTGATTAGGCTTCAGCTAAATTGTTTTGTTCACATGCAAATATATTCTGTCTATTAATCTTTCTTCGGAATGTTGAACTGCTGTTAATGCATCCTGAACGGTAAAATTATCATACTGCGCAAATGGTGACATTACATGCTGACTAGAAGTAGTAGTATAGTTTTATGACTAAAGTAATTTGATTAAAAACCTGTGTTCAAATATAATGTCAATATTTGTCAACCTCAGACACATCATTAATAGTCAATGATGCTTGGATTAATTCTAAACTGTTTCCCTCCCCACCCCCACCTAATTAGTCCTGCTTATTCCCAATTAAAGCAAACCTAAATGGTGTAATATTTAAATTTTGTATTGGTTGTGTGTTAAGGGTTGCATTTGTGTTATATTCATGTACTGTTTTAAAGCCAAGTAAATATAAATAAATGAAAGAGATCTAGTATGAGGGCTGTGGACCAGCCTGTGATGTATGGTTATCAAAGCGAGGTATGGCATCAGGATTTCAGTGGTCCTCTCCTAGGATGCATAGTTTAAATTGCAGTCTATTATCTTATATACAAATTATTCCAATTATGGAATTTTGATTTGTTTTTTTCAAGTGCTTCTTTGAATGTTAGTCAGAATATCTGGAGGTGAAGTGTATTGGTCATATTTCACCAAATTTCTTCCACTCAGTATAATGAAAATGAAAAGTGATATGAGGGCTGTGTGGAGTACTAAAGAACAGTATAGTTTAAGTTGTATACTTTTTTTTTTGTTTTGTTTAGTGATCATTCTAAAAAGGTGCATGAAAAAATGAAATAAAATGTATTTATTTGAAAAGTAATAACAATGATATTATTATTCAGTAATCATTCTCATGTGACCAATTCTTTATTTTTGGCAGCAACCAAAGAAAGGGCCCAAGTTTGTGCTAAAGGAGATGGAAGAGATGTATGTTGAAGAACTGAGAGCCCAGGTGAACTTGCTAATGGCTAACTTGGAGAGCTTACCAGTATCAAAGGGCAATACTGACTCAAAGTATTCATTACAAAAATTGAAAAGGTAATTTATATATAAAAAAGATGATGTAAAATGTTGTCCCATGATGTAATAAGCCATGGCTGGCGGAATGGCGAACTTGACTTATTCTGACAAGTATCTTCCTGTCCAGTGCTGGTGCTACCTACATGTGTAGGTTGCATCAGTCATGTTATTCAAGGTCCATAGGTTATTTTACAATCCTCAGATGACCAGTATACTGTAATATATTCTGCACCAGATGTCTCAGTCAGAATAACAAAAAGTCTAGATTTATGTGGCTTGTTTTATAGATTCTTTTTCTGTTTTCAGAGCACAGAACACAGCTGTGTCTATGATGGAGGTGACAGAAGACTCGGAACCAACTCTAAGCAAGGCAGACGTTGTTCTCTCATTCACCTTAGAGGTATTATTTGCTTTTCAAACTTTTTTATTTAAGGGGGTGACCCATTTGTAGATTCACAATTTTGAAGCGACACAAGAATGGCATAGTAAGTTGCAACAGACATTCCATTTCTTCTGATTTTCCCATTCAAGCAGTGTCCTGGTCTCCAGAATTTTTCATATTCTCAAATTCTCCAAAAACTTCCCAAAATAAAAAATAGCTCAAAGAGTTACAGGTCTTTCAGTTAAAGTAAACAAAAAAGTAAATGCTTTCAGAGGCACTAGGGCCCATAGGGCTGGAGCTTGTCCCCAGTTTCAAGTAGCGTGAAGCAGATGAGAGTGTAATGCTCCCCTTAGTGGGATGCTGGTCTACCACAGGTTACGCCCATCAATTTGCTGGTACCCATTGATACAGCTGCAGGGGCAGATCCAGGATGGATCTGCCGGGGTGGCACTAAGCACACCTACGAGGGCCTTGGGTCCGAGGGAGGAGGGTTTGGGAGGCGGTGTTCCCCCTCCCCCTATTTGCATTTACCACTAATCAAAACAATTTTAGACGGTTTAATAAAGGAAGCAAATACATTTTGTATTGTCAGCATTTCCTTATACAGTACAGTGTTGGTATTTACTTGCATAGACACAGTAATATGATGCACTGGGCAATGAACAGTACAAGATGGTACTGTAGGCCCATTTTGCAAGTATCTACATACCGTTAATCAAACAAAACAAAAAACATAAAAAAATAGTCCTTAAGTCTGGTTATTAAGCATCTATCTGTCTTATATAATAATAAACTATGCAACATTGGCATTTAAAATTATAAATGAAAGAATTTTTATACTCTTTTTTGAGTGTTTGATCACTAGTATTTTATAACTAAATTTGAACTCGTCACTGAGGACGAGTTAGGTGATCCGCTTGTCAGGCAAAAGAAATCTTGCAACGCTTAAAAGTTAAATATGGACAAATATGGTAGCCAGGATTTTCAAACTGCAGGAAAACAAGAAGTCTGCCGCCCTCTCCTGGGTCGTCAGATTTAAAGGAAGAGGTAGGGAGAGGTTAAAAATGCATTTTGACCATGATTACGTAAGTGAAAAATTGAAACATTGTGAAACGAAATTGTCTCAGCTATAACATGCTCGAAGGTGGGAGACGATTGATCAAGAAAAAGCGAGATACGTACAAATGAGTATAAAAATAATGAGGTCATAAATAAAAATTCTGATTTTTTAATTCAAATTTCAATATGATGACGTCACATTGAGCAATCAGCCATAATAATCTATAAAATCATATCTACAACTCATGTGCTTTCAGAGTATTAATTAAAAATTGGGGGTCACCTTTCATCCTAAATAGGCATGATTTTAGGCATATTTAAATTTGGACTCATGCGTATGCGCACGTTATAATAAAATAATAATAAAATAAAACAGCATTTATAATGCGCCGTCTATCTAGCCAACTATTCCGAGGCGCAGTGACTCGACGAAAAGAAAAAGGATTTACTAATTTTTCTGTTTTTATATTGAATAGTTAAAAATCCAATACACAGAGGCAAAATTTTGAAATTACCAAGTGAAAAGTATTGAATAATAAAGTTATAGTTGCAGTTATAAATAAATATATTTACTAACAAAATATTTAATTGCAATTATACACTTACTTTTTCATTTATCTCTATTTTATACATTCTATCTATTCTATACTTGTTTCTTGCTTTTATTACTATACCTTGTACTCCTCTTTTCGCGAGTTACAAACATGCTCGCTTCAAGGAACATTTGGAGTCAGCATTTTGTGACATTTCCATGCGCAGTTTTTAGCATTTTACTGTTATTCAATCCGCACCGCATGCACTCCCTGAGGGTCAAAGTGCGGCGGATCACCTAACTCGTCCTCAGTGACGAGTTCAAATCTAGTTAGTATTATTATTATTATTATAGTTATTATTATCAAACTTAACTAAGGTCAAAGTTCTTTTTTTCTTTTAATATTTTTTAAAGTGGGCGTGGGGGGGGGGAGGAGTGAATACTTTCTGTCGGTGTTTTTCTTGTACAATGTAAAGATGTAATTATTATTGTTATTTAGTTTAATAATTATTATTATTTATTATTATTATTATTATTATTATTATTATTATAGTTGTTGTTATTATCAAACTTTACCCCCTGCTGGATCCGCCACTGAGCTGGGTAAACTGATCGCAATGTAGATAAAGTACCTTGCTCAAAGACACAAGCAAAATGCACAGCAAAGGATTGAAACCCGATCTCAAGGTTGGGAATCCAAACTGTTTTCACTGCTCCAGAACCGCCTGCAATTAACGAACCCTCCAATTAACAACTGCCTCCTGCTGATGGTTGCATTATCATGTTTTTAATTAAATTAATAAATTAATAAAATAGCTTCTTTTATAGGTACTGGTAATGGAAGTGAAAGGTTTGAAGTCGCTCGCCCCTAATCGTATCGTCTATTGCACTATGGAAGTTGATGGGGGCGACAAACTTCAAACAGATCAAGCTGAGGCCAGCAAACCAGCGTAAGTTTGTTAAGCTCATTTTTATCTTTGACAAGAGATATCTCAGATCCTAATCTTTTTAAACATGCACTCAATACTGCTTGTTTGCCTAAGCCACTCTTTTGCTGCTCTATCCTTTTGTGTTTTATTGTTGTAATCTGTTTATTTGTCTTTGTTGTTTGTGTGACTGTACTATTGTGATGCTTGGGGTTCCTGAATAATGACTGATTTTATGCCTACCATTGTTTTCGTGAATTATTGAGGCTTGGTTTGCGCTTCATAACTGCAAGGGAAAGGTGCAATATAATACCCAGTACCAGGGACAAAACAGTGTTGTATGTCCATATATAGTCATGATGTGCCTATATTATTGTCATGATGTGATGTCATCATGACCATATTTGTGCATGTCACATGTTTTTGATAGTGATGATGTGCCTATATATGGTCATGATATGATGTCATTATGACCATATTTGCACGTATCGCATGTTTTTGTCAAAAAAAAATTGTATATAGTCTGGACAGGGCTTATAAGAAGAATTAATTTGGAGATCGTGTTTTCAAGTCCCACACGAGAACAAATTTTTTTTTAAATTGTTTTCAAACGTACTGAATATTCAGTACATTTCCACGTCAGGTGGGCAAAATTACACCTATACAAGAATTAATATGTCAAATAGGATTAGTGGACTACTACTACTACTACTGTAATTTTTGTACTCTGAATAGTGTCTCTAAATGAGATCAAGTGTTTTTTTTTAGATATAAATGCTGGGATGCCCTTTAGCAGATTCTTCATACCAGTCTTTGGTTTTTGATTCTTGCTTTCCAAATGATATATGGAGATCGTATGGATGTTCTGATGTTATTCCATTGTTTATCTGATTTAGAATCAAAGTATCAGAGTTGATTAGATCTACACAGTTTTGAGCAAATATATACATAAATTGGAGGGAACTATAAAAAAATAAAACCTGACACGAAGTCTACGCAAAGTTAACATATTTAATAATACTTTACATACAGTACCTGTTGTTTTGCATTGCCGCACAGCAAATTTAATTACCACTAAAATTTATGCTTCTACATGCATTTTTGGTCTGACATGTTTTTTAAACACAATGCCACTTGCTGTTCGGTTGTTGTAAACAACAGGCCACTAATTTTTTAATTTGTTTCGTGGGTCATGTGTAAACATGTACTTGGTTGTGATGACGTCAGATCGCCAAAAGTTTCATAGTGAGTGACAGGAAAAAAACTTAGTGTTAAAACCGATGTTTTAATTAAACTGACTTATTAAAACAAATAAGAAACCCTGATAATTTTATTTTAGAGTCAAATTCATGCGCCGCTTATGTGTTGTTGTATGAGTAGTCTTGCTGCAAACGTCATTGCGTGCCTCGCAATTCATTTTTTATTTGTAATTGTTATTTTAACGTGGTAGATGCAGGGCAGCGGCTGTATGACGTAGACTAATAAGAAAGCACCAGCTTGGGGTTTTCTACAAAAACACGAGGGCCGATGCGATGTGATGGTAGTCAGAAGAGTATATCCTAGTATCATATAAAAATTGAATCAGTGATTTCGTGTTATCGTCAAATACGTAAAATACATTTAAATAATGTATGAAATAATTTAATAATGCACTGCGTAGGTTGCTTTGTTACATGGTGCACGTACTTGCATTGTAGAGAGAGTAATTTCGCAAGCAAGGCTAGCCTAGCCTAGGGCCTAGATCGTGTACGCTCTTAATTATCGCGGTGACAACTTTGGGTGACATACGATTGGGCCCAACTGGTGTAGACGATCGGGCCCCAAGCCACTTTTGAATATACTGAAGTCTAGTAAAACCACCACTAGCTCCCCACCCCCGATATCGTTCAAAACTAAAAAGAAAATACTGTATAGGCCTAGGCCTACATAATTTTTTCAACTTTTGTGATAGGCCTACATATTCATCAAACTTTCAAAGTACAGGTACCTCATTTATTGGTGTGCTAAAAATATTAATTTGCCTATCAAATAATGTTATCTCTCCTACCTCCCTGAACATCAGAGATTTTTTCTGGTACCCTCCTCGAGGCAGAGGTGGGGAAACCACCTCCCCTCTTTTTTTTGGAAAGTAAAAATAGAAATAAGTAATTGATTCTCTCAAAAATGCATCAGAGGTTTATTTTTGCAAGAGAAAAAATACAGGAGGACCTAGAGTAAAGTCTAGATCGCCACCCCTGACCCCCGTTGTACATCTCTGGATCCACCCCGACAGGACGCTAGTCAGCCTCTTGGTTCGGACTTCACTTTCGAACATGTTGGACACCATGTCCGGTCAGCAAGTGTTGGCTAATGATTTTTTAACAATTTTTGTCAAATTTTGGCTAAAGACAGCTTCAACTGGCTTAAAAAAATTGTTGACTTTAGCCAATTGCCTAAACAAAAAAATATTTTAGAGTGACCCCAGTGTTCCAGACCGAATAATACGTCCAGAATTAGGAATTGGGAAAGATTCGATTTTCGGAATGCCTTTTATTAAAGAAAGAATAGGAATGATTTTGGGACTTAAAAAAAAAGTTTGATTTAGCTTAGATTCGGTTTTCAGATTCCACTGTATATTTTTGTTTTGCACTAATATTAATAACATATGAAAGTAAAGGATAATACATGTTTTTCAAAATGAATTATTTTTATTGACATACATTCACAATGTATTTTCTTATCATCAAAATCACGTATTTTATCAAATTTAATTATGTTATCATTGTCCAACTGTGGTCTGGAGGCAGACCTTAGGAGTATAAGAGAATTGCCATGAAATCCATAAATAGTTTTTACTTCAATGTATTTTGCACACTTGTACATGGTAATTAAACTGTATTGTTTCTATGCTTTTACTTAAAATTGTATTAGTGGACAAATAATGAATGTTTATGAGCGCAATGGGAAGAATATTTTCAGTATCAATCTTTCATCGAATGAAAATATTCTTTCCATTGTGCAAATAAAAAAACATTCATTATTTGTTTTATAACACGCCTGAAATAGATTCTTGTCATTTGATATTTTATTATATTTAAAAAATATACCCTTTTTTCAAAATGAAGATTCTTGTCATTTAGTATTTTATGAAAAAATCTACCTTTATTCTAAATGGAACAGTGGCGCATCTTTTTAACCAATCAAAAGATTGTATTAGGTTGAAGTCTTGTCATTTCCTAGGCACAGTGCAATGGGCAAAAACGGATGGAAAGAAAATACACAGATGGAAATATATTTCCATGATGAGTGACGAAATGGGGTAAATAACCAATGTCACATGATATGAAATTCACCAATCAAATAATAGGGACCTATTTAGGTGTGTTGTAATACTATATATTTCATTTTGAGCCTGCATAATCATTAAATTACGGTGAAGTTGTTATTAAATTCCATGTTAAATAGTGATCATTGTTATAAAATTTGAAAATTTTCATGTTTATTTTTATTTAGGTGGGATACTCAAGGGGATTTTACCACAACACATCCAATGCCAATTGTCAAAGTCAAACTATACACTGAGAACACTGGCATGCTAAGCATTGACGACACACTCTTAGGCAAGGTACTGATGCTCACTGCAACATACGACGGTCCTACGACTGTCGGCCAATGAAACTCCGCTCACTGTTGTTGATTGTCGGTTGCTGTCTGAACGGATCATCATTAAAAACTGTTTTAGCCTTGTGCTGTAATTTTTGTACATTTTATGCATTATTAATTAATTGAGAAAAGAAAACATTTAAAAGTATGTACATTTAACATTTTATTCTTTCATTTTGGGTTTTTTAAACAGGTAGTGGTAAGGCCTACCCCAAATAGTCCCAAAACACCTGAGTGGTACAAACTAGACACACCCAAGTCTGTGACGGACAAAATTACCCTCAAATTAGCTGTCCGGATGGATAAACCACAGAACATGAAGCATTGTGGGTAAGGTTTACAAAAGTATTAAGAATTCAATCAAAAAGTTTTTGCTAGAGTTCGAAGACAGGCATCCTAAACAAACCAAAACTCCATTTTCTAAAATTATGTTGATAGATGGTGATATTTATGAGTATTCAAAAAAAAGTATAATTCCTTTTTTATTGGATATTTGTTCCTCCTTACATTGAAAATTTAGTTCAATGTAAGTTTAGGTGTAGTCAGTGCAGCCGCTCGCTCAGATCTACTTCCTTGTTCTTCACACTCCATATAGTCGATTGAAAACTTATGGTGACAGAACATTTTCTATGGAATTCCCTTCTCCCAACATTTTCAAAAACCGTCTAAAAACACATCTTTTTGCAACTTTTTAATTTTTTTCCCTAAACAGCGCATTGAAACTGTGTTTATGTGCTATAGTAAATTCATATACATTTTTATTACATTACATCAGCATAATTCAAAACAAGCTAAATGTATTACTAGACCACAAACAACAAAGAGAGGAAGGGAAAGTTGTCATCCATAGACCACCTACAGTCTCTAAACCAAGTAAAATCCAATGAATACCAGCAGCTAGGATTCATAGATTACCAGAAAGCATATCAACTTAGAAGATAAGGACATGTTTGATGCCCGGCTTTAAATGATGAAAGAAAGATTTTTTAAATTTTTTTATTTCAACAATATTTTGTGAGGTGGTCTATCCAGCCAGAGCAGATCAATTGGCCCCTGCCCCCTCAGTATACACAATAAAAAACAAAAAGTACAAAAATTAAACTAGATCTTTAACATAAACAAATTAATTAAATTAAAATAGAAAAATAAAAAATCAGAAAAAAAGAATAATGATTTGAGAAAAACATTTAAACTAAAAATTATCAAAATGAAAAAAAAACTAAAATTGACACATTGAACAGAAAAAAATTGAAATAACAATTTATCATGAGAATTAATGAGAAGATACTTAATTAAACTAACATAAATAATATTATATTTAAATAAACATATTTATAAAATATAAATAATTTACTTTCCAAAACAGAGCAAAATCAAGATTTAAAAATATTGCAACAAAATGAAATGGCCACAGGGAAAATTTCACAAGATTGGATGAAAGCTAACTCAGATGGTTAGATTTGAAAGAAGAGAAAGAGAAAACAGAATGATCAATTGGTGAAAGAGAGTTGTAGTGATAAGGAGCATTATAGCTGAATGAAGTTTTCAAGATTTCAAGATTAGGTTTAGGAATGAGATCACCTTTAGTGATTTTTCTTGGCAATTAATCTGTTTGAGGCACTGATAAGGAGTTTTATTTTTTTTACTTTGTTATTTCAACATCAGTTCTCATTATTATTGATATAATGAGATTGATATATTTTTTTTTTGTACAAAAGATGGACCTACTGCCAAGGTAGGACAGCTTGGAAAAAGTGGAAGAAACGCTTCTTTGTTTTAGTGCAGGTAAGATGTGTCACATTAATATTGAAACATATTTTTTAAATTTTAATATTTAAAATTTTCAGAAAATGATCGTATTAGTTGTACATGGCAAGATTATTCTTAATATTTTTGTTTAGTGCACTCTAAATTCTTCAAGGTTTTTTTGAGTGATGAGGTAAAGGTAATTAAATATTAGCTCTAAAAAACTCTGCTTTGCCAGAATTCATTTAGCCATTATACAGCTGTGCATGGATTAAATTTAATTGTTAACACAAATGATAATAAAATGCACACATGTCAACTCCAATGGTTCTCAAGGATTAGTGTAAATACATGGGCAAAAACACCTCTTGCATCACTGCATCACATAGGCCAGCCAGTACAAAACTCAATAATCATGAAAAGATCTTCACATGCCCTTTCAAAGGTTTTCAAATACCAAGAACTATGGATTAAAAAATTAGGTTGTCCCGCATAAAACTAATGAGCAATAAGTTTGTCACAGGCCTTACCATCTTAGTGATATATCATCAATCATACACGCATGTGTTGAATGTAAATTTGGAAACAATTTTAGAATTTTATTTTGATGGATTATTTGAAAATATGTTTGGTTTGTATATGATTTTATTTAACTTTTTTTCTAAAATCTATATTATTACCTATGATGTAAGTGCATATATGTCAGTGATCATGCTTTACTCGCAGCTGTTAAACAGTTAGGTTTCTAATCTCAAGCTCACGTTCCAATATCTCATTGCATTTTGCCTAGTCCTTGAGTAAGCCTTTTATCATCCTTGTTTCAACCAAGAAATATAAATGTATACCTGATGAGGTTCTGTGGTATTGGATCAAATGACCAGCATTAAATAAAGTTGTAACTGCTTAAAAGTATGATACCTGTACCTTTTTGTGAAATACATAGCTACTACACTTGAGGTAGAGAAAATATTCAAATACCTAAAGTTAATCATGTTTTTGCAACACTGTCTATTAGATATGAAGTCTCCAGTCTCACTGAAACTACTCCAAATTGTATTATTTCTAAGGTTACAACTCATAGTCTTTCAGGTTTTGCTAATTACCTGTATATTAAAATATTATTCATTCGAGAATACAATGAATATTGTTATATTGCTAACTGTTATGTATGTAATAATTAAAAATGTAATAATGGTAATTTGAGTGCATATTTTATTTATTTATTATATATATATTTGTAATGACTTTTCTGTTATACTAGATATGCATATAATGACATTAAATTGTACCCATAAGTGATTAATACATTTATTTGTTTCTGCGGTGGCTGTCATGGTAGCGATTTATTTTAGACATTTAGCCACCAATGACTGTCTCCCAACCATCAATTTTTTATGATTTAATTTATATATGTCAGGAATTCTTATTGTAATTTTTGGTCCAATAAAAAACCATTCTGAGTGCTACAAAATTGCTTTTAGAAGATATGAACAAGTTTTGGATTTCCATTGCATTATTTGAGACATGTTAAAGAGTCTGGAAAAAAAAATTATTTATTTCTTACTTTAGGTGAGTCAGTACACCTTCGCGATGTGCAGCTATCGTGAAAAGAAAGCCGACCCGAATGAAATGATGCAACTAGACGGCTTTACTGTTAATTACATTGATGCGGACCAAGGTAGGAGCAAATCCGTTTCCATAGCTGACATTTTTTTGTGTTTGTAATGTTCTTGTTTTGACAATAGAAATATACTTTTTTGTTGAACTATACTCCCTTTGGTAGTAAAACTGGCAGAGCACATTAGTAGATCTTCACTAAGCAATTTAAAATTGTTTGGGATTTATAATTACCTTTTGATCCATTAATGCCAACTCAACAAATGCATTACACAAGCATTCCGCAAACCTTTAAAGAAATTGAGATATGAGCTACTACTCACTGACCCTTGCTTATCTGCGTTTGTGGTAACTTCCTGCAATGCAAGTATAGTTATTTAAAAGTCAATGTGTTGATGAAATGAACAATGATATTTTAAAATGTTTGAGCTAGAAACAATGCAATACAACACCAGCATTCTGCAAACTTTTAGGCTGACTGCCAAGTTAGGAAATGAAACCTTATTGAACCGAACCTTATTTATCGAGGCCTGGATTTTAAATATTAACATTTGTAATAGCAATGTGTAAAGATTGACAAATATTAATGTATGACAAAATAGAATTAGCAATGATCATGGTAGCTGCATCATACTTTGTTTCATTATGGCAAAGTATATTGATTGATAGCATCATTGAATTGGACCCCATCCATCCACAGTTTACACATCTGTGGCTTGCCTCCATTTGCTGTAATAAGCCCCCATTCTCTGTATTTGTCCTTTGAATTTCTTGCCCTGATATGTCTTCAGTAGCATATAATGTTGGCAAAATAACTGCAGTTCAAAGGGAGTTTCACAGATCACACGCATGCTCGATTGGGTGCGTAGACACAAAAAGCTGGAAATGTTGAGACCATTATTATTTCTCATTTGTTTCCCTTTAGTGTTAGTTTGTAGTGTTACCCAAAATAAAAATTTATCATAACAATTATTTTTGGCCAAGTATCTAAGAGTGTCTGTGGTGGAAGTGTAATTTTATTTTGCTGCAAGTGTAATTTTATGGTGTTGATGAAATGAAAAACTGGTTTTTTAAAATGTTTTAGAGCTTGAAGCCCAAGGCGGACGCTTCTTTTTCAAAGCAGTGAAGGAGGGAGATAGTTTAACATTTGCCTGTGATGAAGAAGTTGATCGACAGTTATGGGTCCAAGCTATCTACAGGGCTACAGGTCAGTCCTATAAGCCTGTTCCCCCAACTCAAATATCAGGAGGGAAAGGATCAAATGCCATCATTTCTAGACTTCAAGGAGGTAATTTTTTTTTTTTAATTGAATTTGTTTTTCATTCTTTCGGCACAAGATAAGGATGATAAAAGTGGATTGTCTGTTGGTCATATTGTCCCACTTTGTTATCCTAAGGATTTGCGTACTGTCACTTTATTTATTTAATAATTTAAATCAACTGCAATTGATTTAATGAAAACGTGTTTGCCAAGTTTTTCCTTGGACCTGTGCATGCTTGCACAGGCCTTAAGAAACATTTTAAATCACATACATTAATTTAAACTATATTGAACAATGTATGGCACTTTGTGTTATGCGACCAAAAGTTTTAACTTTTGTTACTATGTAAAGGGGTCTCATATGAGGTTAAGTTTGGTGCCAAAATAATTCTTCAAGTTTTATCTATCAAAATGTGTTTTAATTTTTAGATTGCAAATGATTTTACCAGAGGTATGATGCTTTAAAATGGTATCAAGATTTTTGGGACACCCTGTAAAGTATATTTTCAAATATTCCTGATATTATGCACTGGTGTAAATTCTAATTTTGGGATACTATTTAAAGCAATTGATTCTTAATAATTTTGTATGTTCTGTGTTTGTGTTTGTGCTATTAAATATTGGTTTTGTTATTTTGTTTGCGTCATGCCTAGAATAACAACACAGTTCCAGTGCCAACAATTGATTGTGAGGCGCATTCATCACCATGAATCCGTCCCTCCACAGTGACGGGTGACATTGACTTTTAGTAGTAACCCCTAGATGGAAATGATAACAGCATGTACATGCAAACCAGCTAGATAATGAACTGGTCAGTATTTTTTTTGATCATGCATTGTGGAGAATTTTTTTATCCTGGTTTTACAGATGCTGATCGAGCCAGGAAACATGGAATGGATGAGTTTATTCAGCGTAATCCCAGTACGTTTGATCATGCTGAACTTTTCAAGCTGTTGCAGGAATTAATGCTTGATCATCGACTTAATGATTCCTATTCCTGTTTGGTTAGTATCTCTATTTCATAATCTTGTATTATAAACAGCATCTGCAGTGACAACAGGTAGTACAATCTCATGGTAAGGCCAGCACTCAGACTATAAAGAGCAACAAGGAGAGTACAGTGTTGAGCTTTGATTTTGATTTCACACCACAAAAATTACTTCCAGTGCATCACCTTTTCATGTCCTCAGCCACAACAGCTTCAAAACCTTTAGAAATATTTAAGGTTTTTAAAAATAAAGTTTTCAGAGATCAGCAGAAAACCTTGGCATAAGTACACCCCATTGGGGTGCCTCAATCTATTGCTTCTCCTAGTGTGGATATACAACTGGAACGCTTTCCTCGTCGCTGATTGAAATTATTTTGCACCTGCACCAATGTCTCTTGGAAATTCAGTTTGATTTGTTAGCCCCTTTTTAAAAACTTATACCCTGGAATTTTATTTAAAGGGATCTTTGATCTTGTACGACAGTCTATTTGCCTTTTGTCGTAATATGTCACAATCGAATCACACCACATCAGCTTTTGTGTTATTTTATTGTGTACAGTGTATCAAGTTTCATAGTCAAGAGTGGGCAGGTCCACTAATTCTCAGGCCAGTTGACACAAATGATTTTATTTTTTTTATGTATCTTGTCTATACAAAAGTTGATTTATTTCCTGATGTTTTAAATTTGTTTCAATTTTATGTGTGAATCATTGCCTTTCTTGATTGTGTGGCTTTTGTTGCTTAATCTGTTTTCATTATTTGTCTCCTCATTACAGATTAAAATAAATATCTACATGTAATTTCATATATGATTGCATGATTACTATTACATGTAGTCTACATGCAGTTGGGTTATATCAAACCTAATTGATCTATAATTCTATAATTTTTCTTGCAGGGTTGGTTTAGTCCTGGCCAGATCTTTGTGTTGGATGAGTATTGTGCACGATATGGTGTTCGTGGTTGCCATCGTCATCTCTGCTACCTGGACAACCTCCTGGATCGAGCCGAGCGGTCTCAGATGATAGATCCTACGCTGATACACTACAGTTTTGCATTCTGTGCTTCCCATGTTCATGGCAATAGGTAATTACTAAGAAAATGTTTTTTCTTGGCCACAAGTGTACCACAGCTTTATATATATATAGTAATAATGATACAAGCAAATGTGATGCTTACACAGTGACAACTGAGAAAAGCAGAGTCAATTTAATTATTGTTTACATTTATGGAAGAACTAAAGTCTAAACATATAACAACTATCATTTATCTCAGTGTTTTGGCTGGGCCAAGAATACATAGTTAACTTTTTTCATTTCTTTACTAAGCAGTATAATATATGTGTATGATACTATTATTATTTCATAATTTTATATCATATTTATCTTTATAGACCCGATGGGAATGGAACAGTGACAGTTGAAGAGACAGAAAAATTTGAAGAAATAAAAGACAGGCTGAGAATACTTCTAGAATACCAAATCACACATTTCAGGTCTGTACAACTAACAATTACACTTATGTTTTTTTTTTTGGTTTTTTTTTTTTTATTTTTATACAGGATATAATTGAGGACAAGACAGGATTAATGTAATTATAATATTGTTTTTAACATATTTAATTGTAAATGTATAAATAATTTTCAGATTGGGTAAGAATTTATTGGACTGTTTAATTAATTTGTGTGTGTGTGCAATGTTCGGTTTAAGTTTTTTTATGTTTGTATTTTCAAGTAGAAATTGGAAAGGCACGCCCTTAGGCGATACTAGTTTCTACCACTTTTGCCTCTCCGCAGTTCTCTTTTATTTTGTATATTTTAATGTTTGTACTGCTGGAAGGAATAAAATAAAAATAAAAAATAAATATAAAAGCCTTCAAAAACTAATTACAAAAGGGCCCTGCCTCAGACTTACAGAAAACAGTACTGGACAGCTTTAAATTGGTAATAATGTTCTTTTTAAAATCTTGACCGCAGGCACCGTAGACTGACTTTGCTCGCGCTGCAGGTGGTGGATGTGGAAACTGCCTGTGATTAGTTTTGTACTTATATGCTTTTATACATTATTAATGATGCAACAAAGACATAATAACATTTCTCCTCGAATAACTGCCTATTTAAAATTAAATATTCACCATTGTAATTAACATAATCAAAATTATTAATAGTTATTTCTGATTTTTTTATAATAGAGAATTTTCTTTACAAGACTTTAGCCTGGTTCATGTCAAACTTATGTCTAGATATAAAATCACTTACCTAGACACAAGTTCGAAGAGAACCAGTCAATTATGTCTAGATAAAGGCTTAAGTCGCCTATCATAAGGCGACTTAATTTCACTACATTAACGGTAAATTAACCTGCTTAACGGTGAAGTCAACTCGGATTGCAAGGACATGATTACGCAATGTAGGCATCTACGTTGTTGTTGTACCATTATTGTCATCCTGTGGCTGGCATCAACGTACTCCAATAATAACAACAGCAGCAAAGAACTCTCATCAGCCTGGTTTTCATAAATTATTTGTAACATTATGGGTTAAAACCCACTAATGTCAGTTTTACGAATAGGCGATTTTAAAAGTGACCTTTGCCCTTTGCATCAAAGACCAACTAGTAACATAAAAAAATTCAAAGCGATAATGTATATTTTTTAAAATAATGAAATCAGGTTTGTTGTATTTATTTATTGACAGTTCAATCTTTTGACATAGTTCTAAAACTCTGTCTTCATTACATTTCTTCTTTGATTGTAGATACTGCTTTCCATTTGGAAGGCCAGACCAGGCTTTGAAAGCAGCATTATCGTTACTGGAGCGGGTAAGTTAAAAAAGTTGATCTAACTAGTTTTCAGTGAATGACGTAATGTTTACGAACCAATTGAAAAATATACAATTCATGAAATTAGAGCTTTCAGTGTACACATAAGCTGCTTTTAAACTTTGTAATTCCCTTGTTGCTAGATCTTTGTGGCTGTTATGAATATTTTCTTGATGTAGGTCATAGACATCCTTTTCGTTTTTCATGCTATATGTGGCATAGATTATATAAAAGTGGTCTTTGTTAAAAGCTGTTGACGGTTTTGTGATTTCAATGCAAGGCTGCTTCTATTACTGCCATTCTTAATTTTATTCTGGGTCAATTTGTTTACCTCCTAAGGTAATCCTCTTAATAACAGCTTACAAATTCTGTACTTTTATAGGCAACTGGTTTATTACTATGTAAATTGTATCCTAGCGTGTATCATAGAGGGCATATTTGGTGTGATTTGGACCACATAAATATTGGAAGCATGTACCAAAATAATAAAAAAATAATATTATTCTAATAACGATATTGTTTATTAATTAGGTCTTAATGAAGGATATTGCAACACCGATCCCTCAAGAAGAAGTCTTCAGCACAATCGAGAAATGTCTGAAAAATGCAGCTCTGGTTAACTATGAGCAAGTTTCCACCTATGCTAAGATTGAAGGTATACTATCAAACACAGTCCATGTTTCTACTGAAAATCGAGATAGTTTTTTTATCATTGGTTGATTATTGGATTACCAAGATAAGGAAAGCTTCGCAGCTGTTTTTTTAATTTCTCACAGAATATACTGTGAAGGAAATGAGCCAACAGGTGTCATGCACCTGTTTTAATGGTGCATTAATGGTGCATGTCAATTGTAGCCTTTAATCTAAAGACAGACATGTTGTGAGACTGCCAGTTCTCATTATCAGTGGCAATTACAATTCTGTACTTGTATATATATAGCAATTGAATACCTGAATATGCAAACTAATAACATATTTCCTGACATATTCATGAAGTATTTACAACTACAAAAAAGTAAAACAATTGTTTTTTCCACAAGGTTTTTTAAACAACAAAATCACTAAGCAAGTGTAAAATCAATTTGTAAGAGATTTAAAACTCTTCCTTGCACCACCACCCATGAAAAAAATCTGGAGCCACTCCTGTTAATATAGTAAGTATGATATGCTATTGCTAGTAACCAAATATTTGCTGGGAATGTTGCCTGTACTGTGCAAAAATGAAGACCATGCCATTCAGCAATCTGGAATACTTTCACAAATCCTGACTTAACTTTTGTAAGCAGCAACCTAAATTCTGTACTGCAACACCAACACATCAAATTAGAAGCAACTTTCCATGCTCACAGTACTGCCCAACGATAATTATCCATCCAACACTGGTCACCCCAACATCATCAATTCCAGCTTCAAGATAGAACTTCTGTAAAACTAACTGGGACAAATTCAAAAAGGAAACTGCCAACTTTACCAGAGTTCTACCAAATCAATTAGAAGGCAATGTTTCTATGACCAATTCTGCTATCTTGAAAATACCTAAAAACTCAATACCCTGTGGCTACCGCAAGAATTATGTCCCAGGATGGATAGGACAAGTCAGCAAACTAACAGCTGTTACTTTCGAAGAAAAACAACTAGCAGCTACAAACCTACACTATCTGGGTAGATACCACAAAGACAAGCAGAAAAAGGCTGTTGAGAATATCAACATGAACACCCACTAGGAAGGCCTGGGAAACAATCAACAAGCTGAAAGGAGGCAAAATGTGAACAACACCAAAAACAGCAAAAGCAAATGATATCGCCAAGGCTTTATCAATAATGACAAATTCAAAAATTAGGACAGGGGGTTCACAAGAATAGTTCAGGAACTAAAAAGGACACTGCAATTACATTGCTTACGCAATTCTCACGCTGTCTAATAAGCGAATAAATACAAAAAATCTGAAAGGTAGCCAATGTAGTAGCCATCATCAAAATACAAAAAATCTGCAGAAGTACCAACAAGCTACATTAACATCAGCCTCATGTGCATCCCTTTGAAGATATTTGAAATACTCATCTACAATAGAATTAAACAGCTTTCGCACAAACAAGCAGGCTTCAACTCTCAACATTCTACAGAAAAGACCTAGTATCTCTTCTCACTGATGATATCAAAATCATCCTTTGGAAATGAAGAAAAGGTGGAAGCTGTTTAAATTGATCTTTTCGCTGCCTGTGGTATTGTTTGGCACCGGGACTGACACCGAAACCCATCAAATCTATTCCCAGAAAAAGCATGGTGCACAAGATGCAAAAGGTAACAGGACAAAGTTTCATTCTTTGCATTGGGAAAGAATCATCCAAACACAGTTACCGCTGTGAGTCCCCCAAGGATCAGTTCTTGCACCCCTGCTTTTTAATTATACACTGATATACTAACATATTCTAGCAGGACATTCAAAGAGAACTCAACACTAACAAGGCAGTCAGCAGTACTTTCCCACCTCAACAACAGATCAGCATACTATAAGTGTTAAACTAACTAAACCACCTGGCTTATCTCCCATGAGCACACTGGGTTCACCTGAACAAACTAATATCTGGACATGGCAGGTACAGTACTAGGCATTCATGCACCAGGATGTGTGTCTTCGACACCAATCTCTGCCAGTGTGTTGAGGTGCAAATATCTGTTCATGTAACTACACTGTCAATTGATCGGAATGCTTAGCGATGTTGCTACACTCTACAACGAATTCAGAGCTTAGCTGCATGTCTCAAACATTGGTTTTTAACGCAAATTGTTTCCAAGTGCTTTTTTCTTAAATGAGCATATACCGGTACATGTTTTGTTGGAAACCCAGGACCTTGTAGAAACAATACTGATTATTGATCATTTACAGCAGGGGCTTAGCCAGAAAAATGAAATAGACCGTCCTAAATGGAAGCCAGTCGCGCCCACTCGAGGCCACGCCCCCTCCCAAACATAAGAAAAGAATGGAAAATTACGATCTTTAGAGAGCATTTAAGGTTTTTAATGTCTTCAAAGGGATAGTTTTGAATTAGCTATCACAAAGATATTTTAGTTATATACGTAGACTGCGCACGGCTACAGTATTTCTAGGCTATGCAGATTGCATCTTCATCTCTCGTATAAAACTTTTTAAAACAATATACAATCACACATAAAAATATTCATACAAATATAAAGTGTATAATATTAATGTTTAAAATGTAAATTATAAAGATTAATCCCAGCAAGAATAAATGAACAGGAATAATGATTGGTGTTTACAGTCGGAAGTCTCAGCCTACCACTTCGCTGTATGATGATATAGTGATGGAGTGGATGACATGCATTCCTAGAAACTCGATCAAACACCGTCTTCAGTTGCTTTATATAAACTGACTCCATCGAATGTTGATCCACACCAATCATTGTTCCTGCCCTCCTGATCAGGCGATCGATCCTGTTCTTATCCTTTTGAGTGACATTGCCACGCCAGCAAATGAGTCAATAGGCCAAAACACCACAAATCACAGAATTATAAAAAAGTTCATAAATCTTGTTACACACATTAAATTTATAAATCTGTCTCATACAGTACATTCTGCAGTTCAGTTTCTTTTTAAGCGAATCTACATGATCATCCCAAGTGAGCAAATCATTAAATACAACCCCAAAGGTATTTTTATTTATCTACATGATCAATTTCTTTATTTTTTTATGAGAATCTTACTAACTTCACTCTTCCTTTTCCTAAAGTCAACAGTCATCTCTTTTGTTTTGGATGTGTTCAATTCAAGATATTTGTCGTCACAAAAATTTGAAAACCTAGCAATCTCCTGAACTTAATGTCATCGTTAAATAAACAAGGGACAGCCGCGATAGAAATCTCCATGTAAAACACCGCTGTGTCAGTGGTTTGTTTATATCCATCACCCAAGTTAGGTCATGTGATGCCCATCGCTAAATCCCCCTATTATTATATTTATTAAACCCTTTATCTAGGAACTTGGTTTACATTCACTGATGGTGCTGAAAGGTGAACAGAATATTTCTAAAAAAAATGTATAAAAAGTAATCTAAAACTTCATTTTAAATGGCAACATAATTTTGATCTGTTTGATAATACAGTGACATCTCCAAATTATGAACCTCCTGTTATTAAAGGCCAGCTCCGCTGGTACTTTTTTGAAATGTACTTTAAGTACTTTTTTGAAATGGGGGTATAGGTAAACTTACCCAGCAAAATTCCTATTCTTTTGCACACAAATGACCTTAAGAGCAGGCATTTTGAAAAAATCATAACAAAAGGGCAAAAAATTACACTAAATGACTAAACTGGGGTGAATTTAGTCGAACTTTTTGTTTCTGGAGTTTTATTTTATGTCAAGTACGTATTTCTGCGCAATTATCATTTATTCCCCACCGTACCCACTTGATTTTTTTCACTTTCCGGTGAGTCAATCGCTTTGAGCTTTGCGCATGCGCTAACTAGCCAATCCATTCTGCTGTTCTCACTCCGATCCTTTCGTGTAAAAAAAGTGCGAGCAAGAAGATGACAAGTATGATGAATAATAAAAACTAAACACAGGAGTAGGCCTATTTTGGTTGAGTAGTAATGGTGGAAAGATAGACGGGAAGGTTTGGTGGTAGATTTGATCAATCTAGGTCTAGCTATGGATGCCTTTGAACCAGAGGTGAGGCCTAGGCCCTATATTGTTGGAAAATCGTTGACAGGAGAAGGTACCTATGCCAGCCCAGCGGCCGGGATTCATTCCAAGCATGGAGGTATCCCAGCCCAACTTGGAGGATGGACGAGTTGAGACGATTGGGTCGGTTGTCGTTATGTGGTATCATTTACTACTTAATTAAGAATTGAAGGAAAAATGGGAGACCACAGTTGTTTGACGATGATAAATTCAAGAAACTGTGTCTTGATATTACGATGTAATCAAACTCGTCCATGAATCGAAAAAGGGAAATTCTCAGAGAATACGAGGCAACAACATGCCTTACATTAATAACTGAAATAATAGTAATATTTACAGGCCTAGGCCTCCTGTGCAGTTCAGTAGTAGGCCTAGGCCTCCTAGTAGGGCCTACGTCAAGGCATATAGCGCTTACCCCTACAACAATTCCTACAAATTACACTGGGCAGGCAATGTGTGGATTGGTAGGAAGATTGGTATTAGTACTATTCTGCAGTTCTCTTAGCTAGACCAGGGAGTTGGCTAGACCTGGACTTGTTGACTGGCTGAGATATGACTATGTGACGATTAGCCTAGAAACTGGGCTGGTTTTGATACTAGGCCTAGCCTATGTCTTTGTTTTATATGCAAGTTAATCCAGAAACTACTTTCTTCTGTCATTTTTTTTTTTTTTTTTTTTTTTTTTTGTGATTTTATCAATTGTATTATTGATTCTGTTATGGCAATTATGATTGTACACCATCTTGACCGACGTGTTTTACAGGTTAGTGTGGTGAAGTCCACAGCAGCGCGATGTCACGTTCTCGCGGTATCATTGATTGACAGTTAGTGTGTGTAATTTGTTTTCTCATCACGCTTGGAGTATTCTAAAACCTAGCTAGTGAAAAAAAGTAGACTGCTTGATTTTTGTGGTTCTAAGCGGATTTTTAAATTCTCGTTTTCAGTCAAATTGGCGAATTTTTTTTGTCGAGATTACTCACATGATATCTTATAACAATGTATTTGAACACATAGTGAAGAGAAAATGTATGCCCGGAGCTGGCCTTTAAGCAAATAATAATACTTGTTTTTACTATTAATGATCATGTTATGAAACTTTGAACTCTCTGCATTACAAAGTTTCTCAATTGTGAACACTGTTTTGATGAATGTGTACGTAATGTGGAAATGATACTGTATATTACAGTATATATTTAATTGAGTTGAATTTTCTAAAATTTGATTCTTTTTACCTTATTTGCATTTTCAATCTACATAGCCGATAAGGGTGGGGAACCTAGAACAGGTGATTTGTTTGTTGCATGCTGATTACTTCTTGAATATTTTTATATTCATAACTATATGGAAGTTTAATCTATTTATGTTTTTAATATATAATTATGTTTTGTAGATTAGTGTTTAAATTCAGTCTACCTGCTAGTTGTATATGCTTTGCCATCTACAGTACTAATGGTTGTCTGTACAGTATTGCTGTACTACAGTCTCCAGTGGTTGTCTACACGTTTGATTGTCTCTACTGTAATTCTATAGTCTGTCCATTTTTTTTGCACAGTATTTCTCCAGTCTACCAATTGGTAGTCTGTATAGTATTACGTTGGTTTTATGTACAATACTTCTACAGAGCACTAATTGGCTTTCAGTGCAGTAATTCTACAATATACACATTGGTTGTCTACACAGTATTTCTACTGTATACTCATTGGTTGTCTGTACAGTATTTATACAGACCATCCATTGGTGTCTCTAGTGCTTTTGGTTGTCTGTCTATAGACTGCCCATTGTATGTATGCACTGTATGTAAAGTGGTTTTCTATGCATAAGTTGGTGATCGTACAACACCTGAATCAATCATTAACAATATTACTCATGTTGTCCTTAGATGAATATGTTATTAACAGTTATTTCAGATACTATAAAAACATGTTTTATGTTTTTACAGTATTGGTTGTGTACAGGCTACAAAGATTATCTGTAACTGCCTGTCTATTGGGTTTCTGCTTCCACAGTGCACCATGGTTAATTGTTTTAGTATTTATACGTCTAATTCGTACTTCTACTGTCTACCTTTACAATATACCCACTGGTTGTGTTTACCTCTTAAATCTACCCATAGGCTGTGTACCTCTTAATTCTACCCATTGGTTGTGTGTACCTTTTTAAGTCTACCCATTGGTTGTGTACCTCTTAAATCTACCCATGTGTACCTCTTAAGTCTACCCATGTGTACCTCTTAAGTCTACCCATTTGTTGTGTACCTCTTAAGTCTACCCATTGGTTGTGTACCTCTGAAGTTTACCCATTGGTTGTGTACCTCATAAGTCTACCTATTGGTTGTGTGTACTTCTAAAGTCTATCCACTTGTGTTCTATATGCTCAAATGTAAACTACCGTATGTAACTTAGAATATGTAATGTATGATATATTGCAATGTGTATTAAGTTTGTCATGAAGTCTGTAGTATGTTGTCATGTATTAGTAGTTTACAAAAATGATTTTATCAATGTTCTCATAAAAATCACAATTATGATGAAGTTAATTTGTTAATATAAGAAAAAAAAATTATTAACACATTAGTAAACCAAATAAATCTAGTTGTTATTTTTATTATTGTGTATGTATGTTATTGGTGATTGCCATTTTATTGTTTATTAAATATGATAGTTGAGTATGCCCCAACATTTTTACAGATGAATTAGTGGTAAATCATTCAACAGAAATTGGCACATGATCCAAAAAATGACAAAAAAAATTTAAATGCAAACTCCTGTAGTCAAACATAAATATCCCACAATGACACCTGTATTTAAATATAAATACATAATAATAATAATATATATTTGGCAAAGTAAGAATACAATCTTGCCAGAAGCAAGGAATAGGCACGAGCCCAAACAGTAAACTGCCCTTGCTCCATCATCAAAATATACAGTAAAGGCAAAAGAGAATCATAAAAAAAGTAAAACTGATTTAAAATAAACTTAATTAAAATTAAAAACTTAACCAAATTTAAAAATGACAAAATGACAAAATAATAATGAAGTCAAACATCAGGATGTTCCACTATAATGCCTGTATTGAGATACAAATACCTGTAGTAAAACATGAATACCCCACTATATACATATATTTAAATAAAACGTATGTAGTCAACTATAAATTTACATAAATTTTAATAAATGCAAATGAATTTCCATAATTATCCAACCAGAAATTCATTTAATAATGTCAGTTTCGATAGCCGTATTGTATTGTAATTTATTGAGTGATAGCCTACAAAATTTTAGTTTTGTATATTCATAATTTTTGTTGTTTCTATTGTGTTTGTAAATCAGACAAGAGAAGACAAAACTACAAAGTTTTTTTTAAACGTTTTGTTCAAACATTATTGGTTAGATTTGGCAGGTGTTTTTTTCATTTATTCTCAGAGAGCTTGAACAGTATAGACTTGCCACCAGAAAGAAGACTTGAGGATGTCATTCATTTGGCCGACTTATGTATTGATGTTCTACAACAGAATGAAGAACACCATGCAGAGGTGTGTATTGACTCCAAAACTGACAAAAAGGTTTTCTTCTCTTCCCTCCCATCCATTATTCCACAATATGCATATATGTAGCATCCAAAAATCAAATATCGCACAAAAAATATATTTATAATATATGTTGTTTTTTTTTTTGGTTTTTTTTGGTGATTTCTTTTTTCAATAGTTTCTCAAGTTAATTTTATAAATTTATTAAGAAACCATAACAAGGATATGAAATGATTGTGTTTTCTGTATGCACATTGTTGAATGTTGAGCCTGTTGTAAAGTTTTTACCAGTAGACTCATCATTTTGCCATCCCATAGTTCAATATCATCCATCCTTCCAATCTTGATTTAATTTTATAGGAACTGCACTTTGGAAATATGTGTGAATGCTCATTTGTCCATAAAATTTGTCCATGTTCATATCTGCTCCCTTTATTACAATTAGGAGTAAAGGCAGAGAGAGATGCTTGTGTATTGTTTGTTCAATTACATCATACTTTCTATTCTTTCATTCTATTGTTCATTTCAACAGCGTGATAGGCCTAAAGAATCTCAGGTATTCCTATATGTATTGAAAATTAAAAGCAAACAATATACATTTCTTTTTCTGCAATAGAGTGTAACAGTGAGCTTTTTTGTCTTCCTAGTGTTTTAATTGGAGTAGCTTGGGAAAGACATGCTTTGCATATCTATGCCAATTAGTATACAACTAATTTGCATATTTTACCTGGCAGCCAACATCCACAAGAGCTCCATGAAAGCACTTGGTGCAACCATGCCAAAAATTAGTCTTATCTCTTCCTATAACATAGGAGCCTGCAAACCACTGACAAATTGTTCCTAACTTTTTTTAAAATCTTGTTTTTACTATTTCAATTATTATCAGTGTGAAATATGAAATGAATAAATAAGAAGAATGCATAATTTGAAAATTTATAAAATTCTTGATAATGGAGCAAATAAATATATTGCAGTGTGAAATTGTTAACACACTACAATGTTTTTCTAAACTTGCAATTATAAAATTATCAATTTGATACAGTGACATGGTTCTATCTGTGCTACCTTAGTTTTTCCATCTTTGTTTTTTTAATAATATTTAATATGAATGTATTTCTCATGCACATTTAACACTCTTTGCTCTAGTTTTATATTGTTCTGTCAGCTTATCAACCTATGTTTATCTCAATTCTGTACTAACATTTTGTTTACTTGATATTTATAAGAAAAGTAAAGTGATAATTATTATCATCCAACAAAATGCAATAAAATGTAGAATAGTATAATTTTTTAAATATGCTTGTAACATGACAAGATAAATAATACAATCTACTTTTACTTTGATTTTGATTTTTAAAATCTACTTCCCTACTGTGATTCTATTTTTTGAAATTTCTCTTTTGCATTTTTATTAAATTTTATTTCTACTTGTCTGTTTTTAATGCCAATTCTTTGCTTTGTTTATTATTTTTTTATTATTTTTTTAAAAATTATTTTACCACGCAAAACAAATGAAAAGGTTTATTAAAAATGACCACATTTAAACTTGCTACCTGCATGGTGAAATGTGTTAAAATAGGATGTATTATGTAACAATAGTTGAAGTTATAGATGAGAACATCACCAATTCATTTGTGAAATACTGTATATAATAGTTATAATAGAAGGATCCGGTATAAAAAAGAGTTTCTAGATGAACTTGAGGTCACACTACAATTTAACCTGATCTACAAAAAGTATTGTCATGTCAAGGATGAGTTTTATCTCTCATTAAATATTTCCATTAATTAGGCTTCATGTACTTAATATGCATATAATTCACCTATTATCAGTTCAGTAGAATCTTTAAAGTCTGTTTTACATTAGGAAAATTTATTTGCACGAATAAAAAGCATTGGTTCGCTTCCTGACCTCTGATTGGTTGCACATATTTTTTGTTTTGCAAAAAGTAGAAACAGTTTGAACTACTGATTTTGCTGAAGCGAAAAACTCTAATAGTAATATGAATGCGCATGAACCGACACTTTCGATTCACACGAATAAATACACTTAGTAGAAAACAGGCTTAGTGTACTGCCAGTGGCTTCATCTTTGTGAATTTATTTCTATTTAAGTTGCACACTAATTTTTACTGGTAAGTTAAAGTACACTTAACATACAGATAGTTCTCTTTTTTTTAAAGTACATTTTTAAAAAAAATACACATTTTATTTATTAGCTTGCTTGGCCTTGGGTTAGCCGATATCCTGTCTCTTATACACATCTAGATGTGTATAAGAGACAGACAGTGAGCTTTTTTGTCTTCCTAGTGTTTTAATTGGAGTAGCTTGGGAAAGACATGCTTTGCATATCTATGCCAATTAGTATACAACTAATTTGCATATTTTACATGGCAGCCATCATCCACAAGAGCTCCATGAAAGCACTTGGTGCAACCATGCCAAAAATTAGTCTTATCTCTTCCTATAACATAGGAGCCTGCAAACCACTGACAAATTGTTCTTAACTTTTTTTAAAATCTTGTTTTTACTATTTCAATTATTATCAGTGTGAAATATGAAATGAATAAATAATTGTGTCTGCTTCTCATGTATACATGTTACATAGGCTACTTCCGTAAAACATACACTTTCTATTTTAAGCTTGACTTCTTTTCAGATGACAAGAGCGTCTAGCTGTCTACTAATTCCAAAAAAAAAAATCTCAAATGGAAGTGAATGCCTCTCCTTAAACTTATGATCAAGGGGGACAGGGGGACACGTCCCCAAATATTGTTATGGAGTGGGGATTGGTCCCCTCACTTTTTGTTTATTATAGTTTGAGAAGTATGAGAAAAAGCGTGTAATAATAATAATAAGATTGGTTTTCGGCACATGGTAAAGTAATTGAAAATACATCAAAAAAAATTGAGTTTTATTTGGAACATCACAGCGATTAATTTGATCGATGATGAATTTTATTATATAAGGGTGTCTTTTCCGGTAATCTAGAGGTACTATTTCCCCAAATATTCCCACCTCAGTCCTTAACTATGGTGTGGACTAATGGCTTTGAAGTAGGTAAGCCTAAATTAAATACATCAAAGACAAAGTTTTTAATATTTATTTTCTATAGTACATCACACATATTAATTGGATATCTGTGGTTGCCGAAAACCGCTGGTAAAGCATCATGAGAAATTTGTTGGTGCTTCATTTTGATTATATAATGGTGATGTGATGACAATGAATTTTACTATATAAAAGTGTCATTTCCGGTCATCTAGAGCTACTATTTCTTAAAATTTTCAGTGGGGTGTTTTGAAATGTTCCCTCACCTTTCGAAACAGATCTGCGCCCTTACCAAAACATTTTCCACCCCCCCCCCCATTGCTAAATCCTAGATCCGCCACTGCGTGGAGAGTCATCATTGAATCGAAAAAAGTTGAAACAAGCGATCCCCGACAATATGTTACTCAATGACAGTTGAACTAGAAAGTCTGTTCATGGTATTATGTCCTCTGCAGAAAGTAGTTATTGCTTGGAGGAAATTTTTTCCCCATGGTTTATCTTGACGAATCCTAGCAGCACCACTGCTTCCTGGTATATCAAATAAAATAAAAAGTGATTTTGTGAGGCGAAAGTATCTTACCATAAAAAGGAATGATATGTCGTAATTCAGGGGGTCCCCATCTTTTTGTTTATTCCTTGTGTAATTGTGTGTGTTTTGAAACCAAGATTAAACATATGCGATGTTGTGTTGCTAAGATATAATTTATAGTATTTAAGCAGGCCTCAATGAACTTAAAATATCCGAAAAAGTAGCTTCCCACCGACTATCGCACCTCACTTTTTTTTTGTATTTGAAGCAGTTTCCCACCCACTAATCCACTTTACCCTTTTGGTATATACCTACATTAGTTGAGACTAGCTTGTTTTTTTGCAGATTGGATATTAAATTTAGTTAGTACAGTGTAAATAGGGGTACTGTAACATCTCCTCATCAAAATGTCTAAATTTTACACCAAATGAAGTTGACTTATATATTTCTTACAGGAATGGCACTACAACATCGGAGGAGATATTCTGGAAGTTAGATGCACTTCAGTCTTTTATTCGAGAGCTTCATTGGCCAGATGAGGAATTTGCTCGACACTTGGACCACAGGCTCAAGCAGATGGCAGCTGACATGGTTGAGTCTTGTGTTAACAGGTAAAGTAGCTCAGGGATGCCTTTGGATTCAAATCGTTTCTAGTACAGTGCATAGAAACCATCTTCTGTTGCTAGCTCCCATCCCATGCGAACAAGTTTAATATCTACCTAGCGATTACACATTGGACGTGAGTGGCAGACGTGTTTTATTTTACTCCTAACTAAGTTGTCATGTAAACAGTTTTTGGTAGTTTGGTTATTATGCTGAAATTTTCTTGATCTTTTTTCCTGTTACATCCGACAAGACCAAACTTGGGGAAGTTAAGCATCTCACCTACCTAAAAGTTAGCAAGTTCATGCTTGATCATTTTTGAAAGAATTAAAAAAAAAAAAAAAGTGAAAACCTTACCACTTCACATTTGAGATATTTTTTTGAGAAAGTTGAGATATTTAACACTTACCTTAAATTAAATGACAATTTAATGCCATCTTAAACTTCATAAGGGCCGCTCAGGTAATCAGTGCGGTTATGTAATCTCCTTGCTGGAGTAAATCTTTTTCAGTCAACAATGTATTTGCGTTATTTTCATCTGCTTTTGTTGTAAAATAATTTTTTTTTAAAGCTATATTGAAATAATAAGCTAGACAACCTATAAGCTGACATTTTAGCATTGTCAGAATTAGAGCCAAATGCTTATCACACTCTCCTGAATCATTCCTTGATACACTTTCTGACACAGATTGATGTTTTTCTTGCCATAGATGTTAATGTTGCCTGGGAAAATTTGTCCACACTATACAATTTGCCAAAAAGTTGTGACATGCCTAAATATGGTCATGATGACATCACATGACCATATAAGTTCCCTTTTAAGCCCAACATGCCCAACTGAAAATCAATGTTTTATAAAGTCATTACAAGATTGGTAACTCTACAAAATTGTTACTTAATGTTATTGATAATTTATGTTATATTGAGGAAATACTTAAAAAAGTATGTCCTGGCTTGGACAACATTCCTCCTAGAATTTGAAATGAGAAAAACAAATGAACGAAGTTTGAAACTATAGACCTAGTGTTATTTGTTTGTACCACGTATCTTAACATTTTGGACCCCATTTGAAATAAGTCAAATCAAGTCTTTATAGTCCAAAATTTTAGAAAGGTAAGAGATCCAGAAACTTTATAAGAAGAGGAACATAACACGATAACAAAAACACTTAAAAATTCAAAACATTAGAAAAGACTAAAAAACACTACACATTATTTCCAATTATGTAGCTGGATTTGCAAGAACATTTTTTGAAGTTTAAATGATAATAAATAATAACAAAACAGCACTTATAATGTTCCATCTATCTAGCGTGTTATTCAAATACTTGGGGACTCTTGACAAAAAGAACAATTATTTATTTATTTTATGTACTATAATTTAATTTAAGATTAAAAATATATAAATTAAATGAATGAATGAAAAATGATGTCTGCAGTGGTCTTGGCAACCCCCATACCCCAGCAGTTGGTCCAAATACCGTACTTGCGCGAATAAGCACCCAGGCGCTTTAAATATTGTTTGTACTTTCTGAGGGGCGCTTATTCAAACGAGGCACTTATTTAAACAGGGCGCTTATGAAAACAGATTTCAAATTGAGGGGTCGCTTATGGAAATAGATGAAAATCGAGGGGTTCTTATGGGAGCTTAAAAATTTCAAGAGGTACTTTTTGAATGAAAAATGATTATATAAGAACATTACAAATGGTGGTCCGGCAGAAAAGATAATCCTCCAGAAAACATGGCTCATGACAAGAAAGCTGTGAGTATTTATATAACAGCAGATATTATTGAGGGGGCGCTTATTCAAACAAGGCGCTTAAGAAAATGTTTATCCGAGAGGGGCGCTTATTCAAATGGGGCACTTATTCGCGGGGCACTTATTCGCGCGACTACGGTATGCACAAAAAAAAATCTGATGTAAAAGTCGAAAAAAATTATATTACAATGCATTTTTTTTTTCAAATTATCATTCAATATAACATTAAGATTAATTCCATATATTTTCCCATGCTAGAATTTTTAAAAGCAATTGTAGTAACAGTTGTTTGATT